TACCCCATTACACATATATACTCAGAACCTGATCATATAACTAACAAAACCCCATACAATGTCTTCAGCATAATCCATCAGCATGTTCAATACTTGGGGACAAACCTACTATTTGCTATAGCATTGAAGCATGCTTAATACCCGCACATAGATCTATAAACACGTACAGATTCTTCAGCATGACTGGACCACTTCACCAGGCCTACAGTCTATCTGGACCACTCTCAGAACCTTCAACGTGTCTGGACCGCCTCTCCGGGCCTTCAACCTGTCTGGACTGTTCTCCAAGCCTTCGGCCTGACTGGTACGCCCCACCGGCCTTCAGTCTATCCGGACCGCTCTAAACTGTTGAGCATCTCCCTAGACCACCCCTCCTGTTGATCTCCCCCATACAAACTGTTCTCACCTACTTGGGGTTCCGAACTCCTGATCTATTCTATGGACTCTAACCCCGACCTAACCCTAGGCCTCATGTCGATCTTCCACCCTCTTGGAAATCTGTGGTCTGTTCCCTGATCCGCTGTCTACCATATATGCTAAATAAACCGCACACCCGTGCTAAAATTACTGTCGAGCCCTAGCAGCCAACAAAACCCTCAATCTATCAATCTAAAAAAACTTCAGAGTCAAGCATACCCTCGACCAAAAACTCGAACTGAACTTAATTCATGGCTAGAACTCCAACATGGTTCCCCAACTTCTGCTATCAAGCACCAAGAAGACGTGATACACATGTTGGGGAGTTTTACCGAACTCCCAACTCATACAACCCTCAAACCAAACAGCAACATGTGTTCATGAGATCTCCCTCGTTGATCTACCGAATTTAAATACTCATGATTGGATTCTTCTGAATAACATCTTGCTGACCAATCAACAAGAGTGTGGGCCTATCATTGATCATATCAAGCGGATGCTGGTCTGCTATATTCTTGAAGTAGCGAAATGGATCAGGAAGTCGCCTCTGCCATAAGAAAGAAGCCCATTATCAAGCCAATTGGGAAGGCAAGTGACATGACTGTGATGATAAAAGGAAATTTTGATCCACAATTTTACACAATTTTGTTCACCAGAGGTGAAGGTCAAAGATGTTTGTTCGCTCTTGCTGATAAACACTTGTTCCCCACCGCGTGCTCGGAGCACATTCTTGAAATTATACACAGGTGTGATCAGAATAGTGATGCAGATAAGAAGTTATTTACGGACATGCTTCGGTGGTATATTCATTTTCGTCAAACTTTGCTTGCCATTATACCGAAGTTGTTTAAGACTGTGAATTCATCTCCTATCACTTAACCGAAGTGATCTCTCGCCTCAATTGGCGCAAAGGGGGGTTGTTGAGTCTAAGGGGTTGTGCCATTGTGCCTTGGTAGTTCGGTCCATTTTGTACTCATGGTTTGGGCCTATCCAGTCGTATATAGCTTTAGAGTTTACATATATAGTGCATGCATGCATTAGATTCAGAACGCTTTTGATTATTATTTTGTAGTTCAAGTATTGTACCCTAGCACACCTCTACAGTAACAATTCACATTGAATTCTTCTGAGGTGGAGCATATTAAGCATTCGACATACGTTGATTCATCTGTATGTTTTATTGCTTGTCATTGATTATTATCGTTTTCTCGATATCTGCTGAATCTATCGCTCTTATAGAATTAATTCTCATCAATGTCAAATGATTTAAAGTGCTATAACTTCTTCATTCTAAGTCTGTTTCCAACGAACTTTATATCCACAAAAAGGCGGCGAGAAGCCCTACGCTCCTGACCACACACCCAAGCCTTCCAAATAAATCTTGGGACCTAAAAGACCAAATCACTCATACCATGGGTCTCCGAGACCGCCACAAAGTGCTTTTCAAAACGAGATGTTACATACGTATAAGAAACACTTATAACTATTAATTAAATTTACTTGAGTTTTTTTCCATAACAATGTGATTGAAAAAACTATTTCTCATTCTAGTATACTTTAAAAATATTTACCATATTAGTATTTATTTTCATTTTTCTTTATTTTTTAGTTTTTCTTTATTTTTTTTATTTTAAATATCCGAATTTTCTTCTTTTCTCCTTTATTTCATATTTTAATGCTTTTTTTTTCTAAATAATAGTTTTTATTTTAATTTTTTTACTTGTTTTTACTATATTTTTAATTACAGTTTTTATTTATCTTTTTAATTTTTTTTTAAATATCCGTTTTTCTTTTACACACTTTTGATCATCAAATTTTAGTCATCATAATTTAAACATTCAATATATCTTAAGGTGAAAAAACTCCCAACATTGTACATACAACGTTTCTAAGGTGCAAAAACTCACAACATTACACATACAATTTTTAAAGGTAAAAAAACACCACAATTAATTAAAAATTCCAACATTGTTTGTTACAAAAAGAAAAACATCGCAATTAGCTTGAACTTGACCGATTACAAATCTTTACCTGTAAAAAAGAAAGAAACACATCATTCAACTATAGTTCCTTTGATAGAGGGAGCAAAAGCCCTTCGATAAAGGGAGCAAAAGTGAAACCCTTACCTGTAAAAAAGAAAGAAACACACCATTCAACTATAATTCATTTGGCCACTAACAAATCCTTACCATACAAGTGTATGTCATCAATGCTAATCATCGGTAGAAAATAATGAAACCCTTTAATAGAGGGAGCAAAAACCCAACAAAAACACGTCTAAATTCAACTTCATCCACATCGGTGGATCTTAAAACACACCATTCAACTATAGTTCCTGGATTGAACTTTTGAAGTGCACCTAGTATAACTTGCATCTTAGAGTTCAAATAGTTTGGCATGAGTCAATGATCTCAAAATGTCTGTGTGTCCTAATGGAATAGATCTTGATTGCTCTAACAAGTTCATCTTTATCCTTGAAAGAATCTTTTCCCAACTCTCGCGTAAAATCAATCTTACTCCTTGATTGTGACACAATCCAATAGTCACAAATATTTAAATTTGTTCCTTCCATATTAGTAAAAGTTGAAGGTACTTGAACATTGTTGTCAAAAGATGCTTCTTCATCATCTTCATCTCTTATTCCATCTTTCAATATTTCATTTAACTCAACTTCATTGTCTATATTCATAACATTAGTCACCATAGTAACTTGAGAGATTATAGAAAAATCATCATTGCCAATCATGTCTATAATAGAATTCATCTACAAAAACAAACAAAAATTGATCAAAAAATGATACGTTTACAATATCTGACTCATGATTCAATTGATTTTAACTTCACAAAGTCCATATATATATATATATATATATATATATATATATATATATATATATATATATATATATATATACTATTACTAATATTATAACTTTGTCAAACTAAAAATCTTAAAACAAATAAACAAAATGAAAACCAATGTAGTTTAACCTAAAAACCAATAGAAAACAAAACAAAAACAAGATTTTGGAGCTAAAACCCAATTTTTCAAGCTAAAAAACAAACTTAACATTGGAAAATAGAACATGGGCAATTTTTAAACCAAACTGAATCGGACTTTTTGGAGCTAGAAACCAATTCCACCAGTTTCTCAATTGCATCAGAAACATCGGAATTGGAATCAGAAACATAGGAGCTAAAACAAGTTGAAACGGAATAAGAATCGAACTTACCTTTAACGAAGCTGCAGGCGGCCCACGATGGATGGATGAAACCGCAGGTGGCCGGAGATGGTGGAGGAAGACACAGATGGTCGGCGATGGGCAGAAAAGGTTGCAGGGGAGGAGAGACAAGTGGAGCCCTAGTTTTCGCTTTTTTTTTTTTTTATGTTTGCTGTTCTGTTCCAGGGACAGGGAGAGGAACACACGTGTTTTCTTTTTTCTTTAAAAAATATTTTTAATTTTAAATTTAAAATAATAGTAGTATGGTAAATAGCTTGAAACTATATTAAAATGGAAAATAGTTTTTTAAATAACCATATTATGGATATTACTTTAATTTACTTCACTCAAATCATAGTAACTAATATATATATATATATATATATATATATATATATATATATATATATATATATATATATATATATATATATATATATATATATATTGAATACACTCAAATCATAATAACTAATATATATTGAATAAATCAAATTGATGTGAATTTAGAAATAATATATATTTGTATGGATTTATATAACATAGAAAGCTTGAATGAAACCGAAAAGACATACTTTTGTTGTTTGGGATAATAAACAGTATGACTTTAATGTCTTATCACATAGGTAGTATAACGTAAGAAAGCTTGAATGAAAAAAAAGACATGTTTTTGTTGCTAGGTATAATAAACAATATGACTGTTAATTTAATTTATTTTTTTGATTTTATTTTTTATATATATTATCTGTTTTGATGTTTTATCTTACAGATACATAGTTATAGTGTTAGATGTATTTGTTTTTATCATTTGTTTTATTATATTAGATATAATGCTAAAATTTTATTTAAAGGAAACAAGTTTTTTTTATCTTATGATCATGATGATAATTGATAACCCACAACAAAACAATAAAAAACAAACACTTTTATGCATAAAAGTATATTGAAAAACCAACTTGATATATAATTTTTTTACCCGACTTTATAACTAATTTTTTTTATCGTTTCATTTAAGTGAAATACATGTGAGTTTGAATTTTAGATTCGTATCACTCGTAAGTTTGAGAAACATAGATGAAGCGATGAAGAGTAGGGTGATGTGGAGATGATTTGTTTTCTTTTAATAGTATTAATTAATTAATTAATTAATTAATTCAAATCAATATAGATGCAATGTCATCAGGTGAATGAATATAAAGGAATCCGAATTTGTCTACATAACATGGCCACTTAAACCGATAATCTGTTTGAGTTTATATAGTTCCTCCCAATTGTTTAATTGTTATATTTACAAAAATTAAAAAGTTTAATTTAATACGATTTAAAATTCATGAAAAAATAACGAAAAAAAAAAGCCAAAACTTTGTAACCAATTTTGTCGTTAATCCTTACTATAATGGAGCCAAAAAAACCTATAATCCTCCAGGCTAACTTGCGCTTCTTTCCATCTAAAGCTTGAGTTATCCCCAACTTCAACACAACATTCATCCTTCCAATCAAACAAAAGATCAGTCCCAACAAATTCAATGGATCGAAGTCACAAGTAACACCCCACCAAGCCAAGATAATCTTTCCAATTGCCCAAGTTCATCAACGATGTTGCCACGGATACTGTTATGCTTTCTAGGGTTAGTGTTAGGGTTTTCTCTGGAGTTTGGTGATGCTCTGAAGTTGCCTTTTAGGGTCAACGACGTCTTACCTGTTCTACCACGTCAAGTTTCATGGCCTGTTATGAACACTTTCGGCAGTGCCGTCGATTTGTTGCCATCGTTCGTCGGAACGATTTCCCCACATAACGGGTCAATTGGGTGGAAAGGTGCCTGTTTCTATGGCAATGACGCTCGTATGGACTTCACTGAAGGCGATGATCGTGGTTTGGGTGGCGGTGTTATCTATCTCAAGGTTCGTACATGTTCAATTAAAGTGGTCTATATCTCTATGATTCCTCAATTGGGAGTGAAGATATAGAGTAAAATTGTTTCTTTTGATCAATCGATCAGCTAATTCACTTGTCGATATCTGTTGACTTATTGATAATGGTTGCTTTCGTTTTTCATTCTACAGACATCAGATGCACACAGTTGGACATGTATGGATCTCTATGTTTTTGCAACACCTTACAGGATTACATGGGACTACTACTTCACAGCTCGTGAGCATACATTGACATTTGAATCGTGGGAAGAACCTGCTGAATTGGAATATGTAAGCTAATGTCCATTTCATTATCGTGATTTACTTAGTAACAATGTGATTGAATATACTATGTTGCATTCTTGTTTCTTAGGTAAAACAACATGGAATCTCAGTGTTTCTAATGCCTGCGGGAATGCTAGGGACCTTTGTTTCTTTAGTTGATGTTTTACCTCTGTTTTCAAACACGGGTTTTGGTCAGAATGCGAATCTTGCATTCTTGAAGAGTCACATGGGTGCATCTTTTGAGAAGAGGTCTCAGCCATGGAAGACAGTTATCAATCCGGTTGATGTCCATTCTGGTGATTTTTTAGCTGTTTCAAAGATTCGGGGAAGATGGGGTGGCTTTGAAACATTGGAGAAGTGGGTCACTGGCTCGTTTGCTGGTCATACAGCAGTTTGTTTGAAGGATGAATTTGGTAATCTTTGGGTTGGGGAATCGGGACACGAGAATGAAAAGGTATGGTGCTCTTCATCTTGAATCTTAAACCTTGAATCTTGAACTATATTAGTAAAAAACAATCCCCATAAAAATCTTGAATCTTTAATCTTTAATCTTGAATCTTGAATGATGAATCTCGAATTTTGAATCTTGAACTTGAATGATGAATCTTGTATCTTGAATCTTGAATGATGAATCTTGAATCTTGAATCTTGAATCTTGAATCTTGAATCTTGAATCTTGAATCATGAATCATGAATCTTGTATCTTGAATCTTTAATCTGTAATCTTTAATCTTTAATCTTTAATCATTAATTATGAATCTTGTATCTTGAATCTTTAATCTGTAATCTTTAATCTTTAATCTTTAATCTTGAATATTCAATCTTGAATCTTGAATCTTGAATCTTGGATGATGAATCTTGAATCTTGAATGATGAATCTTTAATCTTGAATCTTGAATGATGAATCTTGAATATTGAATCTTGAATCTTGAATCTTGAATCTTGGATGATGAATCTTGAATCTTGAATGATGAATCTTTAATCTTGAATCTTGTAGGGTGAGGAAATTATTGTGACGATTCCTTGGGATGAATGGTGGAATTTAGCACTAAAGGACGATTCTAACCCTCAAATAGCTTTATTACCATTACATCCCGATGTTCGTGCAAAATGGAACAATAGTGCAGCATGGGAATATGCTCAAAGCATGTCTGGGAAGCCATACGGTTATCACAACATGATTTTCAGTTGGATTGATACTATTGGTGACAACTATCCACCACCTCTTGATGCTCACTTGGTATGTGCTTCTTATCTTTGTCACTGTACACAAAAAGACATGAATGCCCCTCTCACATGTATCTGGTTTCAGGTGATTTCTGTCATGTCTATGTGGACTAGAATGCAGCCTGCATATGCTGCAAATATGTGGAATGAAGCCCTAAATATACGTCTTGGAACAGAGGTAAAAAAAAAAAAATAGCAAATCTTGAGGTTCATTTTCTCTTTTAGATGACATATATGCAAATAATGTTAAAACTTTTTGAAACATTTAACAGGATTTGGATTTGTATGGGATTCTTGAAGAAACAGAAAAACGAGGCATGTCCTTTGATGAGTTGCTAACAATCCCAGAAAATGATGAATGGATTTACAGTGATGGGAAATCAACAACTTGTGTTGCATTCATTCTACAAATGTATAAAGCAGCTGGAGTTTTCGGATCTGTTTCTGATTCTATTCAAGTCACCGAATTCACTGTAAGAACCCTAACTCATTCTCTCATAATCTAATCTTCATTCATGTTATTGCAATAAAAACTATTTTTTTTACAGATTCGTGATGCGTATATGCTGAAAATCTTTGAGAGCAACAACACACGGCTACCGAAGTGGTGCAACAATGGTGATGATCACCTTCCGTTTTGCCAAATTCTTGGTGAGTATAGAATGGAACTCCCTTTATACAACACCTTACAACCGTATGCCAAAATGAATGAAAATTGCCCTTCTCTTCCTCCATTGTACAATAGGCCTTCTCTTTGCTAGAATCTAGAATTGTGTATATTGTTCATAGTACTTTCGTTGATGTTTTCGTGTGTTTTAGTTTGAAATTAAAAAAAAAAAAAAAAAAAAAAAAAAAAAAAAGTCGAACTTGTTCAAATAGTTAAAAGTTTGTCATACATATTGGTGTTGATTAGTGAGTATTCGCTATGTTGTAGTTTGAAAAATCTATTAGATTATAACGATGTCATCCGAGTACAAAATATGCTAGGGTTTATATTTTTCATAAGTATAATGTCCTAATAAGAAAAAGAAACTGAAAGTATACTGCTATAATTGGGGGGGATCACACGATCGGTTGTCTGTTCCATGACAAATACGATGGATCTCCGAGGCGTCGTGGGCGGAAGACGTATAGAAGTATGAAGTTTATTGCCATAAATAAACATAAACCACCAACCGAAATATACGCGATCCCTAGAAAATCATTTTTGCCACCAATCCATGTAGTTGTTGAAAGGACAAGCTTTTTTCTTCCGCCAAATCGATACGTGTTGTAGTTGTTCTCAACTTCGGCAGTGATCGTCTCGTGTGCGTCTAAATCAGTGTTTATTTTCCCGTATAGCTTTCGAAACTTGGGTAACGCTGCGGTTCTCATCCAAACTATAAGATCTTCTTGCTTGCTCAACTGAAACAAAACGAATGCAAATGTTACTCTATGAGTTTTTAAATGTAGTTTCGTGCTACTCTGTGAAAATGGTTGCTTTTCTAACAATCTCTATTGAGTTGACACGTATTTAAGTATATATAACAGTCTGCTCGGTAGCTGATATAAAGCCTAATGCATACTACGAGACAAATCAACATTGGAGTTGGAACTTTTTATTATGCGGCTTGCAAGGCTTGAACTTTTGAATATTTCTACAAACATACAACCCCGTCCTGAGAGAATCATGTTATATTAGGTGTTAGGTTTGAACACTGGAACTTTTCTACAACTATACCATCTTAGAATCATAGATACTACACTTAAGAGAAAGTTTAGTGCAACTCAAAATTTTACTTACTGGTATGCTGTCGTCTAGCTTCGCGCCACCGATTAAGGGTCCATTTTGGAAATTTTTTGGATACACATCCGAACCAAACTTGGCTTCCATGTCACTTTTCCACGCAATGCCCTTCTTATCAATGTCTATCGCTTTGCCTCGGGACGATAATTTATAAGTGTCATTAAACAAACTCCAAGCAATAAGTCCACAAGGAACAATCGGTTTATTATCGGTAGTGTAATCTATCGGGAAACAATTTTGTGTGTCGCCTTCGGCCTGTGGGTCTCGCAACTGTTTATCACTTTTGCTTTTCACGAATCTGAAAACCAGCTAAACAAATGAAGTAATCGAACATAAGGAAACAAAATCTGAAAGATAGTTGACTTACCGACGATGATTCTGATAAAAGTTCTCTAGCTGATAATATACGAAGATTGGGGCAACCATCTTTTTTGGTACTCTTATAGTCCGTGTGCACGTTTTCTTTTCATTAGGGTTTTGAATATATGACTCAGCTTTTTGAGTATAGGCATCGGGGATACATGCTTCATCATAACGGTCAATGATTTCAACCACACTATCAGATGCCGCAAGGGCTAAAAGCCCGGTTGGGATGAAAAGTGCACCGATTATTATGAACGTTGTGATCACCCATCCCGGGGTTAAGATTGGTTTCCATGCGGGAAGTTCTTGTTGTGAGAATTTTGAATATTTAGGTTTTTTTGAGTTTTTGTTTTTCTGATCCATTTTTTTTGAGTTTTTGATGAAGATGAAGATCCTAATCCATTCTACGATTGTTAAGCTATGAATCTTGAAATGATTCTATTCGGGATGAGAGAAATGTATGAGGGTGATTTGATTAACCTTCTTTTAGGATAAAATCGTCTTAACAATTTGTCTAAATTTCTTACCGTGGACAGGAAATTTAGGAGATGTGAGAATCAATGTTGAATCAAAGTCGGTTGAGTCAAATCCACATATTTTAGAACGATATATGTATGTATATGGACGTGTTTATGTTTAAAAAAATAAATAAATAAATAAAAAAAAAAAAAAAAAAAAAAAATCATTGGATGATTGAAATATTATATTTAATTTGTTTAGAATGTAGATTGCTGAAACCAGAAATAAAATAATAATAATGTAGATGTGACCAACACATCCTTAAATACTCTAGATAAATAATCAAATTTTGATTGATTCATAAGTCATAGATTTATTTTATTTTTGTTAAAGCAAAAAATCTATACATACCAGCATAATATCATAATATGGAACTAGAGATGCACAAAACCCGAATCCGATCCGGTTCCGCTTACGTCATCAAGAATCCGATCCGGTCAAAATCCGATCCGAATGCGGTCAAAATCCGATCCAGATCCGGTCAAATCCGAATTCGATTCTAATCCGGTTTAAACCGATTTTAAGCGGATTTTGGGGTGGATTTGGATCCGGTTTTTAGCAAATCCGGTTTACGATCCGGTATCAAATCCGATTTGAAATGTAGGATTAGGATCCGATTGAAAATCCGGTTTTTCCGATCCGATATGGTTTGGTCAAAATTGGTTTTGACCCATTCCGGTTTCGGATTAGATTTGGTTTTGAATAGTGAAACCGGTTTTGAATAATGAAATACACTGGTCAGCAATATCAAAGCCCGTATAGTCTTCAAAACTTTACAAGGAAACTAAACTTGTCACATAATTGTATATTGAACAAAAAATCAATAAGTATAAGTGCAAATTACATAAATTACATCATATTGTCATGTTTTTATCCAAAATGTAATCCTATTATTACTTTTATATTAATTACGTTAACATTTTTTGGGTTAATTATACAAAAGACCATATAATTTGACGTTTTTTTATTTAAATATAATTTTTATTTGCTTTTTACAGTTTGATCATAACATCTAAATTTTGATTATCAAGTTTATCCTATTAATCCTAAACTCTAAATCCTATGAAACTAAAAAAAACAAGCATATGATTATTTGATTGGCCCTGCCATTCCAAAGTCCTTATTCGTAACCCCAATTAATTGATGATGTTTGATTAAATTTTAAATTTAAATTTCTAATAGTGACATTTTGAGAATGTTATGTTAAAATATGAGAAATTTACAAAAATAGCCATTTACACTAATGATATTACAAAAATAGCCAAAAAAAATCGAAATTACAAAAATAACCACCCATTTCGCAGATGAGAAGGTCCCATCTGCGAAATGGGCTTCTCATCTGCGAAAGTACAAGTGCCTAAAGCACAGTTGTGCTTTAGGCACTTGTACTTTCGCAGGTGGCCTTTTTTTTTTTTTTTTTTAAATTTTTTGCTGTATATATAGGGGTTATTTCGCAGATGGAATAGGTCCATCTGCGAAATCCTCTGATTGTATCTGCGAAATCGTGTTTTTTTTTGAATTTTTTTTTTTTTTAGGTTGACTATGAAATGGTTTGTTTTGACTACGAAATCAGGTTGCTATATAAATAGTTTTGTAGAAAAAATATCATTTTGGTTGTTATTTGTTTAGGAACTCTCTCTACAATTTTCTCAAAAAATGATTGAATATATGGTTTGTCTTGTAACCGGTGGGAGATGGCAAGTTAATGGAACTAATCTGGAATACATATGTCCACAGGGAGGTATTTCTGAACTTGCTTTGATATTTTCTGAGTATATTAGTTATAGTGATTTTGTATCTTTGGTAAGAAGCAAAATTGGTTTGTTAGACAAATATAGAATTAGTCTTCGTTTCCACCATCCTGAATTAAATTATTATATAGCTATAGTTGAAGACATGGATGTTAGAATGTTGATAAACGTAATAAAATGTAGTGGAGGAAGGGCTGTGAAAGTGTTTGTGGTGGTTGATGAAGTTGAGGAGGTTAATGGGGCTGGTGAAATTGGAAACCAAGTTGTTGGTAATTTATGCAGTTATAAAGGGAGCAACGATCCGATAGGTACTTACAATACTCCTAGTGTACCTCAGTTTCACAGTGTTGCTGAAAATGTTAATGTTAGTTATTCACCTATTCACTATGTGGAACCTGAGAATTACAAGTCTGTTGGGATGATGATGTTGGTGCATATCTTAATCATGTGGGTGGTCGTTGTGATGATGTTGCCGAACAAGAAGTTAAACTTATGAATAGGCGTGTGGTAGATAAAACAAAAAAGAAAAAAAAATTCAAGTAAAAAAAATGAAAAAAATCATGTTTACGGGCATTATGTTGATGTTGGTGATGTATGTTTAGATATAAGCGAGCTACAAAGCAATTCCGATAGAGATGAGTTGGGTGATGAAGTTAAAGCTAAGTTTCCCGATAACCTTTTTCATGGTATGCCCCCTGTACCAGCATGGCCAGTTGATATTAATGAAGATATCCCAACACAGATGGTAGACATGAATCTTCAAAAGATTCAATGTGAGAGTATATTTAAGAACAAAGAACTTTTAAAGCGGTGTATTGGTAAAAAATGTCTTCGAGAAGGTTTCCAGACGAGGACAAGTAGATCCACCAAATCAAGGTATGAAGCTGTGTGTGTTTCGAAAAATTGTTCTTGGTTACTAAGAGCAAAAGCAATTAAAAATTCTGATGGTCTTTTCCAAGTGAATAAATTTGTTGATGTACACACATGTTCTTCAACATTGTTGCAACCTAATCATCGACAAGCAAACAAATATGTTTTGGGTGAATATGTTGCTGATGTTTTGGCTGAAGACTATAGTAGAGTGTATCGGGGAAAAGAAATTGTTAACGATATGAATGCTCAATTGAATATCAATATCTCATACCATCAGGCATGGCGTGCGAAGCAATATGCATTGTTGTCGTTAAGGGGTTCGAAAGAGGATTCTTTTACCAAACTTCCGGCGTATTGTCACAACTTGGCCAAACATAATCCGGGTACTGTCACACATATTAAAACAGATGTTGATGACCGCTTTGAGTTTCTGTACGTCGCACTCGGTTGCTCGGTTAGTATTATCATATTATATTAATTTTTAATTTATATTTTGGTGTATTTGAATAGATATACAATGTATGGTAGGTACGCGCTTTTGTCAATTTTTGTAAACCGACCCTAGTAGTAGATGGAGCTCACCTAAAGGGCGAGTTCAAAGGTACCATGTTACTTGCAGTTACTAAGGATGGACAAAACCAAATATTACCGGTTGCATATGGTATATGCAAAAATGAGTGTACCGATTCTTGGACATGGTTTTTTCAAAAACTACGTGATTGCATAGGAAATATGCAGGAGCTTACAATTATATCTGATAGGTCTCCATCTATAGCAACATCCGTTGCCAACATTTTTCCTCACGCTCATCATGGAATATGTGGTGTCCATTTGTATTTCAACATAGTCTCTAGATTCGGCAAGAGTAAGACGGTTAAAGGAATTTTTTGGGAGGCGTGTAGGGCGTACACAGTTGATGCTTTTGATGCCGCCATGGATGTTATGAAAAAGACAAAAGAACCAGTATGGGAGTATTTGAAAAGTATAAATCCAGAAACTTGGTCCAGAGCACATTTTAAAGGGAACCGATACAATCTTATGTCGTCCAACAGTGCGGAGTCTATAAATGCATTATCTAGACACGCGCGTAAGGTGCCAATACTTATGTTGATCGATTTTTTTCGTGCTACAATGCAACAATGGTGGTTTCAAAGACGTAACTTTGCAGGTATTAAGTAAATTTTTAATATTAATGTTTTATTAATTTTGATGTTATTGATCTTAACTTCTTCATTTTGGCTCTTTTTTTAGCGGAAGCAACAACAATTCTTACCCCTTGGGCGGATGAAATTGTAAAAGAGAACAAGAAAAGTTTTAGCAAATGGGATGTTCGCATGATCTCTAATACGAAATGCGAGGTAAAAAAGGGGGCACAAAATGTGATTGTTGATTTCAAACATATGACATGTACATGTAGGCATTGGCAACTTGATGGGATACCTTGTGGTCATGTCATAAGATGTTTAACAGTGAACAATTACGAAGACTGCTCGAGGTATGCATTAAATGCTTACTTTACCGAAACACTGAGGAAAACATATGAGGAATCAATAAACCCTCTGCCAAAGCCATCCGAATGGGAGATCCCCGATGATTTGATGATTGTTAAGCCACCAATAATGGATAAACGTCAGCCAGGCAGGCCAAGAAACACAGACCGCATTCCATCCCAAGGCGAGGGTCCAATTATAAAAGAGTGTTCTACATGTGGTCAAATTGGACACACGAGAAATAATTGTACTGGAAGGGCGTTTGGTAGCGGAGCACGTCACATAATTTCTACTGCAGAAATGGCATTTAATATTGGTGGTTCAGCGAGTTGCTCACAAACCTATAACGCTGATTTTGATATAAAACATCCTTGAAATGAAGAGTATTGACGAGTTGTTAACTTATTATGTATTGTAATATTTTTATTAAATCTTACAAGACGTTGCTATGCTTTCATATTTTTGTTTAGTTTGTTGATTGTATCAATTAGTGAAGACTTTATATTAAAAAATATAGTTTGCAGATTTTTTTAACAGTTACAACATGTTATTTAAAAAAACAACAAACGATCCTTTTGCAACCTAATCTGTAAGTAATTTTAAAACTCAGGGAACTGCAACGGGTACTTATCTTTCTCCATTGTTATATAGTCATCCCTAATTATCGTTTTGTCTTCGAAACGATCCTTTTTAACCATAATGTGTATCAACTGCTCATCCTTCTCAGCAAGCCGTTTTTCAGTGGTGTAAAAAAATGGTCTACCAAATCACAATAATAACAATCAACTTCGTTGCATGAGCAAATTTCGATTTTGTGAGAGGAAGTCATAATAAAGTCGATATTGTATTAAACTAGACAGTAATGACAAGTCCAACTTTGAAATGACTAGAGATAAATTACAGTTTGACATGACAAAACACTGTAGTAAC